GCACCTTAAGACTTTTGTCTATCAGTTTTTGGTAGGAAGAGAGAAAAATGAAAAACAATAAATGACATAAATGTAAATTGAGCTTGTTTTAATTCATCATGTGATTAATTGATGGTCAAAAAATTACATATTCAATATAGCAGAGCAAAATGTGTTTATATTTTCTTCATTTTTGGTTTAATTATTTGCTCTGAACGTATTGTTCTTCAAGTAAACACCCAGGCTCTATGCTCCAGTTAACGATTAATCGATTACTAAGTTACTAAATGTAATGCTTGTTACTGGTTTCTCAATCACAAGACTTTTTGTTTTGGGGTTTTTATAATGTAAAGCACTTTGAATTGTTTTGTAAAATGGGCTTTGCAAATAAACTTGATTGATTGATTAAATTAGCATTCACTGATCCGATTAATCGTTTAAGTCCTAAAATAATACATCTCAATTTTCTTAAGTAAAAGAATATAGTTGAATATAGCTCATCAACGCCACAACAAACTGATTTTGATTGCATAAAAAGAAAAGCATGAAGTATTTTTCCACTATTGTGTGAGAAAGTAAAATACATGACCTTCATTATTAAACTATACATGTTCATATAATTTAACATTTTGTAATCTTTTCCATTCTCCTGCTGCAGCCTGTTCATGCATAACGAGCTCCAGATGCGCCCTATAAAAAGTGATTGCTATTACGATAAGGACGAGTTACATCCTGACAGCGATGTTTCTGAACGTCAACAATCGCTCAGATAAAATATTTATTGCAGAGACTCTCTGCTCATGTCGGTGTTGACCTCAGTGTCCTTCAGATAACTTCAAATATCCTTATTGCATTTATAAAGAAATAAAGCAAAAACAAATACCACTTTCCTGTACATCTGAGTGAAAACACAAAGGCAAATGTCACTTGATTACACCCTGCAGCAGCAAGGCTGCCTCTTCCTGGCAGGTAAACGAGTTGCTGCGCAGGCGTTGACGCTGCAGCAGCTGCAGGGTGTCAGGTGTGTGTTGACAGCACATTCGACCCACCCACCTGGAACAAACAGAGCAGGCAGCGCGAGCAGGTCCCACAGGTAGACACACCTGAAAGCCGGCCAAACAGGAGGATCGTAAATAACTCCCATCCCTTCTTACTGGCAGAAACGCCCACATGCACAGTTGAAAAATAAAAATTAAAAGCTGATTTTTCAGGTATCTGAACTTTACTTGAGTATTTTTCCTTTCTGACGACTTTTTACTTTTACTTTCTACATCTTATGAGAAATATCTGTACTTTCTACTCGTTATATTTTAAGATATGGCTTGTTAATAAAAAAATAATGACGGAAAAAATCCACTTCTCGCACAACAAGTGTGATATAGTAGCGGTAAATGCAACCATAGCAAAACAGAAGAAAAACACACTGGGAAAAACAACATGGATGGATACATCCATGTAACATCGCAAACAGCAGAGGAACACATTCAGAGATGCAACACATTTATGCAGTCTTATTTAAATAAAAATCCTTAAAAAAATAAAGACAACTGATTGTTCTTTGTCCGCTCAAAGAACATTTAGTGACGTGTTTTGTGCAATTTAAATGATCCTGATTGAGATTTAGTTTGAAGAAAAACTAGATAGTATCAGTATTTTTTATCTCTATACCAACACAGAGCATGTTGTGAGGAAAAGAAAAAAAAAAGTATTTTCAAAAGTATTTTAAGTCATTTTGTATTCTTGAAATTGAAAATTACTTTCTACTTTTTGTACTTGAGTATGTATCAAAACTTGTGCTTTTTTTAACTTTTACTAGCATTTCTTTTTAATACAAATATCTGAGAACGTGAGTAGTACTTATGACACCACTGATTTATGATTTATGTCCTAGAAAACATTTTGCGACCTACATCTGTACACTGTACGAAAACACTGAGAACAATAAAACCCAAGAATGTCCAATAAAAACATATAACAATGCAGGAGATAGACATGGACAAAAGCTGGCTTTCCTCACCTCAGACACACCCAGAGTCTTATCTTTAACCCAAATCATGCTGTAGATTCAGAGGCTGAGCTATTAATATCCCAAATGGTCACCGTGGAAACGTCACCAACAAATACCAAGCTGTCATGAAGTCCCTTTAACACGAGTACGGGTTGAAACTATAAACACGAGGATAATGGATAACTAAAGGTCAGATTACAGTTTCCAATAAGAAAATGATTGGTGTGACGTAAAATATTCAGGCGGATAGGAAGCAAAGTCCAAACAAGCAAGGTCCAACCAAGAGCACCAAGCAAGGCTCACTGAGGAGCTTTAACAATCATTCAGGATCAACATGATAATATTATAAATGAAATATGTTTTGGAATAGTTTCCAGTAAACTTTTAAAAAGTTATGATTTCAAAACATCTAAAGGTGTTCTCATAGTCCAGTAGATTTGGTTCGATTGGGACCAAATTTGTAACATTTGCTACATTTTCAGATGTTGCGGTTCAGTTTCACGCTGCACTGTGACAAACGAACCACACTAATTGAAAAACCTGTTCCCCTCCTCGCCTGTGGGGGCGCTGCATCAAGAACTACTACAGGAAATGACACGAAAACCTCTGAAGAAGACATTAATGCAACTTCCCTGTTCACAAAATGTAAACAAAAGTTGAATAGCGTCAAATTTTAGCAGTTGTAGGATTACTTTTATGTTTTTCATTAAAAAAAATTAACCAAGAGTCATTTATCCAACGCACCTCTTCCGCCTGCTTTGGTAGCATTTACCCAGAATGCTCTGCGTTTTAGACTGCTGCCTGCTTCTGGAGCGGTCTCTGGTTATACTGCATTCAAACAGCACCAGAGCTCACTCCACAGCTAGGTTTTTATTGGACCAGAGTTCACTCTTTTGGTCCACATCAGACTTCAATTACGCATTCACACCTCCACAAACAAATCAGACTTTCTACACAAACGAACTAGAGTTCAGTTAAAGCGGACTGAACGAAACTGGTATGGATGCACCTAAAATGTTCCCTTGATTCCTACAGTTCAAAGTTTGTTTAAGGGGATGCCAGAGAAAATCAGCTGTTTGGAAAAACTTCTTTCCAAATGGTTGCTACACCAGCAGACAGCCTGACTAACTGACCAGCTTGTGACTTTTTAAAGATTAGACCGACAGAAAATAACAATATTCTGCCAAATAATCATGAGAGAACTAATATAATTCATTAAATATATATTTGAAGATAAAGATTAAACCCTTTATGTAATATTTTAAACTCAATTTGGACATAATGAAGTAGCAATAAATGTCATCCAGCGCAGCAGCATTACTTAATAAACAGACAGCAAATGAGATTTTAGCATTATAATGTTAGTAGAGATTATTCTGGAGAAATTACAACTCTACAAAGTCCAATGATTTAAACAGAATTGTTTCTTTCCACTGTCCCCCTGTGCTTGAACACCAGACTCAACGCAAATTCTAATGCAACCTGTTTGTTTTCTTTGACAAATTGTTTAAAAATTAACATTTTAAGATTGAGTGTCTATACTGAAACATGACTGGATGCAAAACTGTTTATATTTTAATATGAATTTGACTGTAATTTAGCAAAGTGAGCTGAAACAAGGTCATTTGGTCTATATTGGATCTGCCCTGTCCAGCAAAATGCCAAAAACTTTTGTTGTGAATTGGTGTAAATGCAGCTAAAATGGAATACACTGAATAAAAGTACAGATTTAAACCTTAAGATGGGAGTTTAAAAACCAAAATATGAGCTATGTAAGGCAACATTTGGTTTTATTCAAAGAAGTAAGCACACAGACGTCACTGCAACACGAAATGTTGAGGCTCAGGGTTAAATTAGACAGCTTTAAGAGGGCAACCAAATTAGTATAATCACCGAAACAGTCTCTATGGAGAAACTCAGTCAGCTAATGTGAATGATGTCACTTACAGAACCGAGGCAAAGTATAAAGGACATGTATGAATGGAAAGCTTTCTGATCGTACTGGGTGTGGAGGCTGGAAGGTTTATTTGAATACAGGTTCTGTCTTCAGGTAATGACAGTGGAAACGGCCTGTGGTTGCACAATCCCTTCTTCCTTGTTGCCAAACTGCTTCTTTTTCCTCGTTTAAACCCAGAAAACAAACTTCTAACTAGTAAAAATGAGCCAAAAAAAGAAACGCTTCCGTCCACCTTTAGACTTACCTGCATACCAAGGACGTCCATAGCTACTTCGACCTCTTTTCCTCCTCCTGGCTCCTCTGCTTTCTTTCTTTCTTCCTTTCTTTCTGTCTCCTTTCAGCTCCTGATTTCTTATTCCTTCTCTTCGTCGGGTTTTTACTCCACAAAGTTCCCTCTGAAACGGGTGAACCGGTTTGACTTCGAGGCGGAGAAATATTTCCGACACGCAGACAGGTTTGTTTAGCAGCAGAATGAAGCGGACAAACTCCAAAACTCAAAGTGTGACACAGAGAGTCTGCAGCGAGGAGGGGGGGAAAAAAGCTGTTGAGCAAACAAACGAGGAGAAGGACGAGCCTTTCTGAGGGAGGAGCGACAGAAAGTTCAGTCTGAACAGGAGGGAGTCTGCTGCCTCCCTCTGCTGGTCCCCATCTGGCTAAGAAAGCGTGTTTCTCATGTGTTTTTTACTGTGAAATATTTCAGATGATCAAAAAAAGAACATTAATAACACACAAAAATAATACGATTAGATATAAAATGTAAAAAAAAAAAAAAAAATCTTACCAAGTAATTTTGGTTTAAATGAAATGTTCAAAACTTGTATTTTGAAACAAAAGAATATGCTATTTTAAATATTTTACTTATGATTAGGGATTTGCTTGACACATACTTCTGTGAAGCAAAACGTATTTGTTGCGATGTTATCTTGGTACTTTTTGTTTTAACTTTTAAAACTAAAATACAGGTCAAGCCAGTTGATAATCTAGTTTCCTACGGCCCGCGAATGCACCGGCAGGTTTTTGTCCTGACGTAATCGATAAACGTCCAGAAGGGGGCGGAGCCCGGCGGAAAGATGGCGTTTTTACGCTGTAGAAGAGATCCCTGTGGTGTTATCTGCCTGGTTTTAACTTACTTCAGCGTGTTTTACGCAGACTATGTGGTCATACAGTATGTTCTCATCCCTGCCTATGCTGAGAGGTCAGTAATGGAAGTTTTAATCTCGTTTAAACCGTTTAAAACAGCCGACATGGAGTCTGTTCCTGTTCGCTGCCTCTCCATTCATTTAGCAAACAGGTCTGACAGCATCCCGAGTCTACTCCGAAAACGGTCGTTTATTTATGTATATATATTTTACTTTTAATCACAAATATCAGTGAGTGGGTGAATTTAAGGTGGATATTTGTAATCAGAGAAATCCTTTTAAAATCTGCCTTCGGGACAAAAAAACAAAAACATTAGCTGTTTGCTAACTGTGTTTACGTCAGTTGATGTCTTCCTGTTTGTGTATTTTTATAGATCAACAAAAACTCTTGAATGTGAAAAAGAATAAATAGTTTTAAAACAGCTCAACTGAAGTTTAAACTCGTTTCTGATGCAGTTTGTTGGGGACAGCTTTGAACATTTTTTAAGTGTTGGTTAAAACCAAAACAAAAACAACATCGTGCTGTTTTCAGTTCTCTTTTTCTTTACATGTGATCATTTGACCCAGTCATCAGTCATGATAGAGACACTTTCTGCACATTGTTTATTACATGACAACGAAGCTGCTGTACAAAATCCATGCATAGTAAATGTTTGTTTTCTGAGGCACTAAGTGATTTTTCTCCTGCTGCTTCTTTCCGGCAGCGTTTGGGGAATGCTGCATGGATCCCTGTTCAACCTGATCCTGCTGCTGCTGCTGGCCTGCCACTCCAAAGCCGTCTTCTCAGATCCTGGTTGGTCGAAGTCACTAAAACCTTCAGCTACAGACGCTTATCTTCAGAGTAACTATTGCGATGATTGGTCTTTGTTTAATGTTCTGTCAATTAAACTCACAAAGAGTTTAAATTCAACTGTCAGATTTACTTTATTTTTAAACCAACTACTTTGATGTTTAAAATATTTGCATTGAAGAGAGCTAATCAGGGTTTTGTAGTCCATTAGATTTGTAGTTTCATTTCAGGTTCAGCAGATTATCGGGTAAAACGTTAATATAACTTAAAGCTCAACTAAAACATAACATAGAAAGTACTTATTTTAGACAGCACTGCAAAAACATAACATTTTTTCAAGTATTTTTGTTTCTAATGGAAATATCTTAGTACATTTAAAATAAAACACAACTAACTCACAAGTAACTTTTAACAAAACTGTAGCAATCTGTCTGTGCGTTTGGCGTTTCATATCTGTCTCCAGGCATGGTGCCGCTCCCGGACACGGCCATGGACTTCTCAGACCTGCGATCTCAGCCGTCTCGGATGAACGAGCGGGTCGGTTTCTCAGCATCTCTGTTCAAAAGTGAAGGAGGTTCTGGTGGCTGAATTTGATCAAGTTGGACTGTTTTCTTGTTTTAGCGTCTTAAATGTTGAAAATGTGCCGCTTTCTTAAATTCTGATTGGACCTGATGGATCTGTTTGTTAAAAAGTAACTGAAGCTAAAATGTTTCAGCTGCTGCTAGAATTAAACCGGTCCATGCTGCTGGGTGCTGCTGGGTTCTGCTGGGTTCTGCTGGGTGTTTTAAGGTTGAGGGGACCCGGTCCGACTCGGTCGGTTCTGCAGAACCTCAGTGAGCCTCTGGTGGTTGTTGTTGTCAGAGCTGTGACGGCTGGACGGTGTGCAGCCGCTGCGAGATCTACAGACCTCCCAGAGCGCACCACTGCAGGGTCTGCCAGCGGTGCATCCGCCGCATGGACCACCACTGTCCCTGGTGAGACCGCACACGTCCAACCGTCTGTCCAACCGTCTGTCCATCCATTCATTAGTTACCTCATCCATCCATCCATCCATCCATCCATCCATCCATCATCATCATCATCATCATCATCATCATCATCATCATCATCATCATCATCCATCCATCCATCCATCCATCCATCCATCCATCCATCCATCCATCCATCCATCCATCCATCCATCCATCCATCCATCATCCATCCATCCATCCATCCATCCATCCATCCATCCATCCATCCATCCATCAGTTTATCCATCCATCCATCCATCCATCCATCCATCCATTCATTCATTCATTCATTCATTCATTGATTGTGAAATCTTCTTCTTCATCTTCCTCCTCCTCCATTTTCCAGGATCAATAATTGTGTCGGGGAGTTGAACCAGAAATATTTCATCCAGTTTCTCTTCTACACCGGTGAGTCGCTACAGAAATCTGTTCTCTGCATATTTACTGTCATTTCAAAATAAAAACCCAAGCAGCTCTTCCGCCTTTAGTCGCTTTTACCAACAACCAGTCAACCCAAACTGCCTGGTTCACTGGGACCAGACCTGAACTGGCTCCCAGCTCAGACCCGGCTGAGCGTTTCGTTTGTGCGCATGCAGGCGTCGCCAGCCTGTACTCCATGGTTCTGGTGGTGTGGGCCTGGATGTGGCGGATCCGGAACGAGAGGGAAGGCGACGCCGACAAAGAGGGAGAAGAGTCGCCGAGCAAACATCTGATAGTGTGAGTTCAGTGGACAGCAGGGGGCGCCGCTGTGGGTGTGGAAGCTTCCTGTTCACTGGCGTTTCCTCTTGTCTCCGGGTCAGAGCTCATTACCTCATCCTGCTGGTGGAGTCGGTGCTGTTCGGGGTGTTCGTCATGGTCATCTTCTACGATCAGGTAGGACCGACTCTTTTCTGTTCTGAACTGATCCTGGACTCGTTCACCTCCACAAACACAACATCTTACCAAGTCCAGTTTCTACTGGACAGTTTCCACTTGAAATAAGGCAAAAATAACTTAAAAGCAACTTTTCAGCAAATATAGACACATGTTTAAATCAATACTTGTTGAATATTGATTAAATAAGTACTAGTTACACTGGCAGATTATTATTTTTTAAAGATGTAAAAAAATGTATAAAATACTAGTAAATTGAACCTGTTGTATTGTTTTTGTCTCTAAAGTTTGGAAAGGTTTGAGAACGTATCTTGGAAATGCTTTATGAAACATAATATGTGCATTTTTAATTTGAAATAATTAAAAAAAAACAGTTTTGTCTGTAAATATGTTCTAAATTAAAAATCATCACCTGGTACAAATTCTGTAAAAAAAAATAAAAAAAAATCAATAAAATAAATGTTTGTGTTAGAAGCATTTATTTAATCCTTTACTACAAATGATCAAGTGTTCACTAAAGAAATTAGACAGTAAAAATGTTTCTTTTCTTATTTAAATACATACTTGTATTATTTGTTTATTTGCATCTTTTGAGGCATTTGTTTAACTTTATATAAAAGGTTTAAATAAAATCTGTTTTTATTTGATTAATGGTCAGAATAATCAATAATCTCCGCTCAGCTGATCTCCATCATCACTGATGAGACGCCCATCGAGCAGATGAAGAACCGGCTGATGATCAGAGAGCGCAGCTCCTCCTCCTCGCCGTCCTCCGCCGCTCCGCAGCAGCCGCACGCCACCCGCAAGCCCAAGCTGGCTCTGCTGAGGGAGGTCTTCGGTCGAGGTGGGTCTCCGTCCGCCTCCGTCTTCACCAAAACTCCTCACCCCGACTAGAGAAGGGGCTCCAGAACCGCTTCCCTCCGCTTGCTTAACGATCCCGCTTATCGGCTCCCGTAACGTGAGGCGAATTCCGACGCGCTCCGTATTTTCATTTGGAAAATATCCAACCTGGCGTCACGGCAGAAACGCTCCGAAATATGTTTATATTTCACAAAAAAAGACAAATTAGAGCTCGTTGCAGAATGTTGGGAACTTTAATCACCATAAAAAGACGAAATACCTCCAGTTTACCGTACGAATCTAAAGGTTTGATGCGTTGCTTAGCAACGGCAGTGACTCAGCGCAGCGCCTCCTGCTGTGAAAGTCCCAGGAGACGTTAAACTTCTCCTCATCCTGGTTATCATTAATGTTGGCACCATACTGAATGAATAATCTTCTAATATTAACATTTACATTCATATTCAGTAAATAAAACATATTTTCCGACGAGGCTCATTTATTATGTTGGAAGCACAAAAACCCTTGATGTGCGTTTCATGCTAAAACGTTCTCTTTGAAGGAGGGATTCTTATTGCGTAAACATGTTTTGATTTTCTCTGAATCAAATTGATCGCGTTTGAATTAAAGAGTTTATTTCCTGACTCGGTGAGAATCGATAAATCCCGATCGATTCCCTAAGAACATTCCCGACTCACCAGCTTCCCGCTTCGTCCAGGTTCGGTTTTCTGCTGGCTGCTGCCGCTCCACTCCAGCCCGCCGTCGGCCGGAGGAATCAGCTACTCCGCCCTGCCCGACTACGACGTCTGACCTCCGACCTGCGAGCGGAGGAGCGGATGTTTGTGTGTGAAGGAATGACTTTACTGCCTAAAAATGATGTCTCGTCTTTCAGCTGAGAGGTGAAAATGAAGAAGGGATGACTGAGCAGAGCGTGTTTGCATTCACGTGATGAACGAGTGGATGGATGAATGGATGAATGGATGAATGAATGAATGAATGAATGAATGAATGAATGATGCACTGAGTTCTAGCGGTTTTACCCTCCAGGACCTGAAGAAGCGGTTCAGCTTCAGACTCATCAAACACTTTTTGCTGAAAACGGCACTGAGCTTCTTGTGAAGTTTTGCGACCAGCGCGTCCTCAGATCTTTCTGTGTCTGTTTATAGCAGCGTTTCCCTGGAAACCGGGAGAGTCGATCCGTTTTTAATGACTTTTGTCCTGGTTTCAACGGGAACCATGCAGAACTCATGCAGTTTGAACGTCAGGGATGGACCGAATGTTTCAAACTTCACTAACATTTCAGTACATCACTCTTTAAAAATCACAAAATGCAAAAATTAATGATGAAATACTCAACCAAAACTACTACTTGGTATTAAATACTAATCTTATTGCACTGCGAAAAACACTTTCCAATAACAATAAATCTGATCTAAATACTGATGATCCGTATTCCTGTCGCAATAAGACATTTTTCCAGACGATAAATTGTGTCAAACGTTCTTACGATAAACGATTTTATTGTTGTTTTGAGACAATTTTCCATTAATATATTGGTAATAATGCCATGATAATACAAGAACACGTTGGCCGAGATCAATAAACTTCATATTCAGATGAACATTTAACACTGGAATAGGAAGACATTTTAAATATCCAAAATAAATAAACAAACCAACAAATAAAATGATTTCTGAAGTTTCTGTAAACAAAAATGTTCCTCAAAAAAAGCAACTAGTTGAGATTAAAATCCCAGACTGAAGACTTTTATCATCCAGTTTTTAGTGGAAAATCGATAAACTGTACAAATGGATGCAGAGTTATGGAGTTTGTTTAAATTTACCATGTGATTAAATGGTTTATGATCATTTTTTGTGATAAACCTCACAGGTGTTTTTCTGTATGCTTGCTCTGCAGTCCAACAACAAACCTTTAAACTCCCAAACAAGCCTAAATATTTCAGTTTCATGTTTCAGATAATTTCACTACCAGACACTTTAATACTCAACAGTTTGTGCTAAATTTGACTTCAGCATCAAGGCAGAAGAAAACAGTTTTTCTCAATTAATTTAATTCCTTTCTTGTTTGACTTTTTTTTGTTGACACCATCAGTGAACAAAAACATTATGTTTCATCACCATGATTGACTTATTTGGCCGTTTTATTGTTTTAAATTGGTCAGCAGCGCCCCCTGCTGTTTACTACAAGGGTTTTTGGTCCCTAAAGAGAAATTTTACAAGTTCAGAAACTCAGGAAACTTCTATAAATGTGGATAAAAGATGATTTACGTTTGAATATACATGAAATTATCAGGTTAAATTGGGAATCATTTTGTATTTCAGTCGTTTAATTTTGTATAAGTAAATTGATGAATCTGTCAAGTCTAGATGATTTAATAATATTTTCACGATAAGTCAATGTGTATGTTACATTTAGGGATTTACATTAATGCTAAGCACAAACGGGTGCGATTCAACATCCATGAAGAGTTTTGTTTTCTACTTTTATCTTTATTTTTATGACTTTCGCTCAATCAGAATACACTCACTCTGTGTTTTCTGTTACACAACTGAAGAAACCATTACTCACATTATTTATAACTCTGATTGTAAATGTTTATTTTTATGGAAGGGATGAAGTTGCCTTTCCACACAACATTTTTTGAATTTCTGCTTAATTTATGATAAAAGAGTTTAAGGGTTCTGCTCATTTCAGCCCTTCTCCAATTTGTACTTTTACTTTTTTTATTTTACCTGATTCCCGCAAAATGTTTCACAGTGTTAATTTATATCCCTAACACTACAACACAAATATTTTGTCAACTTCTTTTTTTCATATTAGCATTTTTAAGACAGCAACTTGCAGTTTTAGCTTCAGTTTAGGCTGAACTGATTCACCCACATTACCAAGTTAATAACGAGTGTTTCTGCAGATTTTATTAAGATTTATTGACTTAAACCAAATATTTAGGTGTAGAGAATGAGATAGTTTGAGTTTTAAATGTCATAAAGAAGCTAATCAGTGTCTTAGATCTCAGCTAGCATTTGTAGCTAGCGCTACAGCTAACTGATTTACTTAATGAGCTTTTAAATGTCCAGTATTTCAACTGGATTAGTGCAAATAAGCAAACCAAAGATGGAAACCTAACAAAAAATAGGATATTATGTTTAAACAGGTTTATTTAATTCAGATAAGGACAACAGTCAAGCAATTTCTGCAACTAGCCTAGCGTAGCTAGCCGTCAGTTAGCTGTTCAGTCATTTTTCATTTAGTGAGTATCTGTTGTTGCTGACCAACATTTGGGAAGTTTTAACCTGTCAAAGTATGACAGTGTTTGTAATCAGAGCACATGAAGGGTTCCTAAAAACCCCAACAGATCATTTTGAAAATGTTTTAAAGCAAAGGCAGCTTCATCCCGTTTGTGTTTTTATATAAACGTGTTTATAGTTATTTTGAATCGTGTGTCCAGCCTGGGTTCAGACACACAGGTGCTTTATTGGCTTATGAATTATTCTCACATAAAGCATCACAAAAAGAGCTGCTAAATGAAAAGATAAAAGGATTTTTAAAAACGTTTTCAGTGAATTATGTTAATTTTATCACTGCACCATTAATGCGCCACTCGGTGTAAAAATGTGGCGAAAATATTGGAAAGAAATTATGAGAAACTTGCAGAGATTCAAAATTATAGCAGGTTAAGTTTTTTTAAAGCATGTTTCATGTTGCATATTAGTTTCATTCTGCCAGAGTAAAACCAGATATTTGGTTAAAACGAATCGGATCACTAAACTGGACCTGAAACATTTCCTCAGTTTAAGTTGTTCTGAGCAACAATGAAACAAAACTTATAAAACATAAAGATGGTGAACATTATTTAACTGAAAAAGAACATTTTGTATGTTTCCATTAATTTTCCAGTTTGGGACTGGGTGATGCTTTCTGAAGGTTTCTCATAACTTCTGTCTGCGGTGGTAAATCCTGGTTCTGGTTCTGGTTCTGGGTGTGGAGGCTCATGTTTTATACTGACTCATTATGAAGGGAAACGTCAATGAATCTCTGAGATATTTATTATGATTTCTAACATTAATGTTGTGTAAAAAGGTTTGAAAGGGAAGAGAAACTGAAAGTTTTATTTGAAGTTGAATTTATTTTAGTGAAGCACCTGAAAACATTTCAGACTCTGTGTGTGTGTGTGTGTGTGTGTGTGTGTGTGTGTGTGTGTGTGTGTGTGTGTGTGTGTCTGTGTGTTTTATCAGGGTGCTGGTTTCCTTGGTTGTGATAAATGCAGTTGATCTGTTTCTCCATTTATTTTTTTATCTTATTAGGGTGCGCTTGTTTTGATTCATCTCTCCATTACACTGCAAAAACTCAAAGTCTTACCAAGTATATCTGGTCTAGTTTCTGCTGCTGGTATCTTAGTTTTGTCTTATTTCAAATGTACTAATTTACAGGTAACGTTTCTCCAAGATGTAGGAATTAGTTTTAAGTCAGTAATTTCTTGATATTGATGGAAAAAGTTCTGGTAGATTATTTCTCTTTATAATAAGGGAAAAATCTGCCAGTGGAGTTTTTACGTTTCCTGAAGTTTTAAGGAATATTTTTACTTAAAACAAGCTCCTGTCTTGCTGAAGTTATTTTATATTTTTGCAGTGTAGTGGTTTGTTTTAAGTCAGTAAAATATTGATTTTTTTTTAAAAGTACAAGATCATTTCACTAGTAACAATGCAGTTTTCCCATGTTATAAGTGAAAAACTCTAATCAATATTTAGGAATTATTAACTTTAAACAGTTTCATATTTCTTGCTGGAAAGTTACTTATAAGTTTTGTCTTATTTCAATTGTCCTGAGACGTTTGCACTAGGTGATATTTTGTTTTTGCAGTGTAACGACTAGTGAAGATAAAAATCCAACACAGGTGAGCAAAACAAGCGCACTGAAGGAACGTCTGCACAAACAGAGAAGCTAACAGTTAGCCGCCACTCAAACAGTCTTTTGGCTCATAAAACTTGTTTTTATTATTTTAAATAAACCCAAAAGTATCTGATCTAGAACTGCTGTCAATAAAACCCAGAAAAAACGTTTTATTTACTCTGAGGGAAACAACTTACTGTGCAGTTCAGAAGAAGCAGTTTTGAAGCTGACAGAATGTCTTTTTTAAAATAAAGGTCAGCGTTTGTATGTTTCTCCTGCGGCTGTCAGTTTCGAGTGAAAACCGAGTTTGATATCTTGTGGTTTCTTGATGAACAAGTTTACAACCGAACTCTGTTTGCTTTAAGATGTTGTTACGATCTTGAAACCGTGACCTGTGTATTTTTTTTGTCTTCTTGACATGCTGCTCGTTAAAATCCAAATAAAACCGATATCTTTTAATCTGCTCTGCCTCAACTTGACGTGTTGACTTGTCGCACACATTTAAATATACAGAAAGTTAATATGTTTCATATAATCTGGTTAATTGAGAGAAAGGGAAACAAATGCTTATGAAATATTAAAGTCTAACACAAGATGGAGACAGAAAATAGTCAAAATGTTTGATTTTATTGAGATTACTTAAAGTTACAGAGTGTCTGCCTAAAACTGTTCAGCATGATTTATCAAAAAGCAGAAAAACAAACGGAAACCTCAGTAGAATCTACAAAAATACAAATATTGAGTAAATGGATTGAAACTTAAGGCATAAATTGTGGATTAAATCAGTAAATATATTCACTCCAATGATGAAACGTATAAAAGCTGCAGCAGTAAAACCCCTGAAATGAGATCAGAAAGAGAAAGTTTAAGGAAATATGCTGGAAAATGTATGTAAATAAAAAAAAAAAATAAAATCACAGTTACCTGCGTGGACACGTTGCACTTTCCATGATTAAACACCAGAGGTCGCTGTTGCATTGGCGAGCGCACTGCTGCTTTTCAGCACAAGCAGAGAGCTGTTGGACGGCAGCCCCAGACTCACCAGCTCATCTTTAATCTGGAAAATGACAAATCTATCTTCAAAAAACTAAAATCTGTCCCTTTGTTCAAACTCACAATGTTTTTGCTTTTGATTCCAGACTAAACACAAAATAATTTGAGAAAACTTTCAACTCTGTTGGCAATAATTTTCCTATCATTACAAATTAAAACTCTTTATTTGCATCTATGTCCCAAATTTGCATCATTTTTGAATTGCAGTTGTTGGGCCACACAAAAGTCAGCCCAAGGTCCAGGAACGGCCCCCGGGCCACAGTTTGGACACCCCCATTGTAAGCGATAAGAAACGAGGAAAACCAGCAACACTCTTTGTAGTTTTCAGACAAAAACTCACCTTCTGCAGGACGACTTCATTGACGATTCCTCCCTGTGACAATGAAGACAAAACCTTCATGTTGACTCGAACCACCGTCCCTAAAGGTTCAGAGTCAGTCAGTGGAGATTTGATCACATGTTTAATAAACATAATTATCAGGTTCATCACAAAGGGAACTGACTGATCAAGATGAGATCAGGGAGTTTACTCACCAAGCTCGACTTGCACAATGACGCATCGAAGCTCAGAGTGGTACTTCTCTGAGCTGTGAAGAGAGAATTAATGCAGCAAACTGGAGGCCAGGGGTGTCCAAAGTGTGGCCCAGGGGCCATTTATGGCCAAACAAAATGGATTGTTCATCCATAAATGGATTTTGTTTGGTCACAAGTCAAGAATGGTAAAAAAAAAAAATTTGGCCAATTCAACAGAAAACAATTTATGTTTTTCTTTTAATAAAGCAACTGTCTACTAATAGTTTAGTCTTGTTTCTATAGTGGAAATATGTCAGTACACTTGAAATAAGACAAAACTATGTTAAACGTGAGAAATGGAAGATCGTTTTAAGTTAATAATTCCTTAATTTTGATGGAAAAGTGCTAGTTTTACTGGCAGATAAATTTACTTATAATAAGGCAATTTCTGCATTAGTGAAATAATCTGCCAATGAAACTAGAACATTTTCATTAATAATAAGGAATTACTGACTTAAAACAAGCTCCTATATCTTGCTGATAGATCGGTGTAGATCATAGATCACTTCCTTGCAAAAAGCTGCATGTAGATCTTAAAATTTTGAGTATTTGAGTCAATCGAGGGTTAATATTAGAACAGGAAACCAAATAAAACTGTATATATTGAACAAAAACCTTTGGTTTGTTGCAGATCAGACTTTTACCTTTCTATTATCCCACTGCTTACCTGCCTGTCTTTCACCGAGGTTGTTAAAAAAAACTTTTTAACACTATTCGTTCCTTTTTCCAGAGATTAAAACACACTTTTCTTGTGTCTCAACATGCTTGAAACAGGCAATAGTTCAATCTGGACCAGACTTTCTCAACCTGTGCACCGGCTATTTGACGCAGCATGAGCTTAAAGTGCAACAGTTAGCTTAGGGTTGTGTTGAAAATTAATAATGATAAGTGGCTTATCACCGGGTCATTCAGAAAAAAAGCTGAAGATACCGGTGGAAAAAAACAATGCCATCGGCACACAGATCAGAAATGTTTATGTTAAAATTTGAGCGCTATGAGAAAACTCTGAGAGTCTTTGACGGCCCAGCAGTCAGGTTTTATCTCAAGTTCAAGTGTCGTGACGTCTTGCTGGCCTTAGCAGGAACATGAAGCAGGAGATGGATGGATAAAAAACAGCAAATGTGATTTACCGGTATGTTTTCATTCCAAACGTGAGCTGAGGTCAAAGGATCGTGACCAAAAGAATGAGATTCCAGATAAAAGTGGCTCAAGTTGATTTCCTTCAGAAATCTACCAAGCAAAACAGAACCAAGTTCAGTTACTAAACTATGTCTTCAGTGCAGGTTGGCATTCAAATCCTTTCCTGTTTTTGAGAAAAATAAAAAAGCTGCCAAACAACCAATCAAAACACAATTCTGAGGAGGGCGGAGCCACCGAGAGTGAGAGCTGAGCACCGAAAAGGGAAAAAGTGGAAACCTACTCATTTGATGGGAGTCGGCTCTTTTTGTTCACTATTATAAAGGAATGATGCTCAGATTTAGATCATTTGTGGGCTGTTTTATCCTAAAAAATAATTTCTGTATTATTATACATCACATTTCACATATTTGGGGTTTGACTAAATTTCTTGTGTTATTTTTATATACAGTATATTTAAAAAAAAATCCAGCTGATACTTTATGAGAAGATACTCACTTCAGCGTTGCCTGGACAACGAAGCAGATGGGGTGGCTCTCTCCTTCTTCACTAACTGATGGCGTCCATCTCAGAGTGAAGTTTCCAGATCCTGATGAAGTCTTAACCACAGTGGCCGGCCCGCTGAACAGCAGCTCAGAGATTCTTTAACAGAGAAAAGAAAATGTAAATTTCATAGAACAATGACATCAACAAGTGGATTACAGGAATACTATCAGTCATCTCTAATCTTTGATTCACATTTCTGAAGTTATCAAAAACAAACCATTTTGTTTGGTTCTTTGTCTTGATTTAATCTTTATTTCATTGAAAACAATTGAAATAAGTTTTTTTTTCTTGATGACACAGACCTGTGATATTCTAGTAACAGGTTGAATACTTAAGATTAAAAAAAACAAATTCAAAGCAGTGAGGAGTTTCAGATGGCATTTTCAAAGAAACAGGGCCAAGCTATCACCAGGAACATTTTCTATGTCAAAAGCACCAATAAAATGTTCCAAATACATACCATCAGAGCCTGTTGATGCATATTTTACACATATCAAAGACTAAATTGGAGGCATTTTACCCATCTAGTGGTCAAATTTATGCCAACTTTTTACTTAGCTAAATTAATATCTATGAATTTAGATAGATTTGCTAATATTCAGCTTCTACAAAATAAACATCAGTAATACTAAAACTTATAACTTGTAAAAGAATTTACACAAAAGCTACAACTGGATTTTACATGAAGTATTTAAGGTTAAACCACATTTTTAATGGAGGAGATGCTTTGGTCGTCACTCACGTAGCATTAGCAGCCTCGGCAGCGATGCTAATTTCCAGGGGTTGATTCACCCTGGTGGACATCTTGGCTCTGTTTGCTGGAGTTGGAGGTAGAAACTTTGGAAGAAACAATCCTTCTGTGCAGGATGGTACCACAGGGTCCACTGTAAAGAAACAGAGAAAACAAAAATGCAGGTGATATTCTGGGAGGATCACCTTGAACTTCCCATCAAATTAGTTCTTCAAATGTTTTATCAAACTACTTGTACTGAAAGTGTGAGGTTTTGTTTCTCCTCTTTGCTGAACATCATCTGCCGTATCTTCTGTCACCTTCGTTCACCTGGAAATGCCTCCATACCGCCGGCTCAGCTCCTCCTCTAAAGTCATTCTGCCATTTTTATCAGCTCCTCTGCGTACATACTTGTCTTATCCTCTTTCTTTTTATGTGTCTCATTTGTGGGAAATGAAGCTCCCATCATGCTGGTATCAAAGCACTTTTATAAATACAGCACAACTACACACAGTATCGGACATATCGGCATCGGCGCCTCCCTGTTTAAAGTCACAGAACCGACCAAACTGCAGAGAGTTTAAGATAGAAACTCTTACCACGTAAAACAAACTGGAGTGGTATTTTGCTGATGGCCTGACTGGTGGTTTTGGTTGTTTGAGCCCCGTAAACAGTGGTCAGTGTAATTGTTTGCTTTGGGAAATCCTCCAGCACCAGCTGCACTGCATACGGACCTTCATTGGTGCTATTGGTTCTGTTGAAGGAGAGAGTGCAGGACTGCACAGAAAAACACTGGTTCAGTCTGAGGAAGCATTTCATGCTGCATAAACCTGCAGAAGGTTTTCCTCACCGATGATATGTTTAGGATAGACGGAGGAGCACAAGGGTTACATTCATACAATGAATCAGATCCAAATCTGCATTCAACGTTGTCTCCGTCAGGGTCAAACGCCATCAAGTCGTAATCTCTCTGACAGTTTGAAGGAACCCTGAAAGACAAACGTCACTGGCTGTTATCTCCGCTCAACTTTCCCTTCTCATCCCAGCTTTCGTCTGTCAGCATTGACCTGGAACATAAACGTCTTTACGACTCGCTGAGCCTGTCGTCCTTCTGGTTTTCTCAAAGTTTCTGCCTTTCTGACGCTCTGATCATGTTACCCTTATTTCTGACTTTATGGCTGTTTTATTTTATTTAGGTGTTATCCATCTTTGTCTTTCTTCAAACTCACATTGTCGTCCTCAGAACAAAAGCACATTTTTTATCAATTGTCCTCAATAAGACCAAAACATTATCTCAAATTCCAATCAACTGACTGATCTTGTAGTTGTTTTAAGTAAGTCGACTAACAGGTTCATCAAGGAAGCTTCAACTGAACTTTGGGATCAACAGTAAACATATTTTAAGAGTTTGTTACGTAATACTGCTCTTTTTTTTTAGTTATCTCTCTAAACTTCATCCACAAAACATGTACAGTGCAAAAACGGAAAGTCCTACCAAGTATTGTTGGTCTAGTTTCTAGGAAAAATATCTTAAAATATCTTAATACACTGAAATAAGACAAAACTAAGTTATAAGTTTTCAGCAAGATATCGGAGTATGTTTCCAGTAAGTAATTTTTCCCATGTTATAAATAATCTTCCAATGGACCTAGAACTTTTTAATCAATATTAAGGATTTACTTGCTTAAAACAAGCTCCTAAGTTAGTTTCATCTTGTTTAAAGTGTATTTAGGATATTTAGAGACTGGTAATATTTTGTGTTTTAGCAGAGTAGTGACGATGCGAACCTCACAGCTGGCATGATGGTGCTCTGAGGGGAAGCGTTTGGCTTCCTGGTATCCGATCGTATTCCCAGTTCCACAAAAGTCTCAGCTCTCCAAGACACAACGTTATTTTGGATGTAATCTATCCAGTTGCCACCCGCAAACCTTTAGTGAAAAAAGAAACTCATATTAAAGAAACATGGTAATAAGGCTTCTTCTGAATACTAGTCTTGAAAATAATCATGTAGTTTTTTAAAGCAGTTAAATGTTCTTGTGCTTCCTCTGACAACTTGTGGTTCCAGACAGGAGCTGATCACAAAAAAAGTCTGTTTACTGCTAGAAAAGTAACTAAAATGTCGTTTTTAGCAAAAGAAAATGAAAGAAAAACCAAAACCAACCAATAAAAACACCATAGCTCAAAATATGCCTGTCTATAATCCAGATAGTTTACTCTCAAGATATAGAGAAATGCTAAAAGCATCTTACACAAGCTGGGTTAAATAGCTTGGAAAAATGAGCGTAGTCATGGTTCCTTCTCGCTGACACCACTCTCCACTGGGCTCCATGTCGACCTCCTGCAGGGTGGGATTCAGGCTCCCACAGTAACCGAGGCAGCTCCATATGTCAGAGTGGTAGCAGGAGGTGAAGCCCAGCTTGTAGCGTAAACTCACCTGCAGAGTCAGAGGTGAAAATGTTAAGATAAACCCAACCCCACCTGCAGATGCCGCTAAATGGCGTTATTACGCACCGTTACGGATCCATCTGCATGAGTTTGCTTTGGGTAGTAGGTCATCATTGTGCCCAAAAAGTGAGTGGCGTGTGTGCCGCCGAGCAGCAGCAGCAGCACCAAGCACAGCATCGTGAATGTTGGAGCTCAACAGGAAGAACGTCGAGTTAAATGAACAACTCAGACACCTGGTCTTCTGCCACGCCTCTCAGTGACAATGAGCGGTCAGGTGTGACGAGATGTTTGTCCTCTTTTATCTGCTCTGTTTGCATTTTTGGTTCAATTCACCAGCTTTTACCCTCAGGTGAAGCTCCCTGAACATCTGCACCCCTTGGTTTCCTCTTTACTTTGTTTGGTCCAAAATTACTGCCAGGCAGTTCAAAGTGTTTTTGTCTCCCTTGATGACAAAAACATGTTTGTTTTCCTGTCGAACTCGATCACTGCAACCTTTCGAAGAACCGTCAGCTCTGAGTTCTGAGAAAGGTTTCACCTGGCAGACTCCGCAGAGAACAATGAAGAGATAAGTTTAAGGTGCTCCACCCATAGCTGTTAGTCTGGGCCACATACCATCCAAACCACAATGTTCTGCTACAAACACAGCAGAGAACTGAACCAGTCATAACATAAAGCTCCACCGTTTCACTGTGGTTCTGATACCAACCGGTCCACTTAAAAAACAAACACATTTTTAAATTTGTCTTGAATTCAGGGATGTGCATCTTTCCTCTCATACTCGTGTGTATGGAAGTTTCCCAGCAGATAAATCTGTTTCCTTAAGTTTTTTTTGTTTAGGTTTGCAAACACATTCGCATAACAAACCACACACAAAGTTTTTATTTTAATTGAACCTTTTTGATAGAGTGCACGAATGTGTTTTAATCAGGTGGAGGGCAGGAAAGAGGAGGAGCTTCTTAAAGAGACAGAGGCCCATTTTCAGAGTGCTTTTAATGGACGCTACTACATATCAATAAACTGGAAGACTTTGATATTTTTGAATTTTGTTCACAGATAAACTCTTAATGGATTTGTGTTTCTAAACAAAATGTTTGTGACCTTTGCAGTGACGGCATCTGACCATTCTCTGTTTCCCCTTATGAATATTATCTCTCGCTTTCAGAGAGTTTCCCCAAACCGGGTAACATCCTGGTCATAATGCAAATCCAGACCAGGACATTTTCCAGGAATGGACCGGAGCTCGTCTGGTGAAGTTTAACTGCGTTTTCCTCTGAAAACTTTTGCTTTTTCTCTGGAGACTTTGACTCTGTCAACATGTTGCCGCCTGTGTTGCTGCTGCTGTCAATCAGCGGAGCTCAGGCTGCTTATTATGGGATAGTCTTTACCTACTCCGTTGGAAACCATGGATACCTAGTAAGTTGAGCTTCCTTGTTAAACACCATGTTAGATTTTATTCTGGTAATAAAAACAAGATGTATGTACGAACTCTTCTCTGTGAATTCAGACAGTCAAAGACTTTAAGGCGAGCTTCAGCTCATGTGACGAGTTCGACTCTCGGGTTTGTTATGGAGACTGCAGCGGGATGCCAGTTTATGCGGTTGATGAAGTCAGAGGTGAATGGTGTCAGAAGGGATACAGCTGGCGTTACTACCCTTCATATCTGGGTGAAAAGAACGGAGAGTAAGTCTACTTCAGCATTAAATGGAAACTTATTTTATATTATTATAGTGTTTCCTAAACTCCTGCAGGACAGATTCATCAGTTGGGCTGATTAGGTTATAATCAGATGATAGGAAGCATCTGATTGTGTCTGTTTTTAGAGAGAGTGAGAGAGTTACATGCTTACATTGCAGAACTTTATCATCCTCTGCAGGTTTGATGCTACAAACTGGATAGAAAACAGAAATGGGATTGAAACGTCAAAAGCAGTTTTGCACTTTGACCACAGAATCCGCTCCGACATCAACAAACCAAACTCATCGCCCCAAACCGCCGTCGTCCCCACATTCAGGTAATTCTGTTTATTGTTGTTAGTTTGATTAAAAACACACCATTTTATTGACAGCAAAGTGTTTAGATGATTATTGTGAATCAGTGATCCTGAACCAGAGACATGAAGCAACAGATTATCGTCATAAAATGTTGGCAGTTGTTCCTATTTCTTTAAACACGATCAGTTATACGAGTTGATTCTTTAATGGGAAAATTCATTTTGGCTCAAAGTGAACATTAATCAATGAAAAACAAGTGATTGGGTAAATCTGTGTAATATCAATTTAACTAAATTTGCTCTGTAGAGACAGCTCACTAAGAAACTAAAACATAAAATGATGAGGAAAATTACCTGTTTGTTTTAAATGATCAAACACACGAAAGGACTGCATGTAAATTATGTTCTGTGTTTCTTTTCTCTCAGAGTTCCTTCAAACTGTCAGAGGAGCATCAACCTGTTGGTCTCTGACCCGGATGGAGACGACGTCAGATGCAGATATGCAGCCGGATCAGAGTGCATCACCTGCACTCCTCCGTCTGTCCTCAATGTCTCATCAGTGAGTATCAAATGTTGAAATTAAAGAAATCAGATTTGCAGTCAGTAAGTATTTAAATTCAGTTTTACTCCTTTCTCTTCTCTTCCAGTCTTGTTCTCTGTCATTCAGTCCCACTAACAGCAGCGATGAAGGTCCGTATGCGGTTCAGATGACGGTGGAGGATTTTCCCAGACAGACAGTCACTCTGACTGACAGCAGTGGTTTACAGTCGGTGAAAACTCTCAACAACGCCATCAGCAGAATCCCTGTCCAGTTTGTTTTCAGAGGTAAAACTGCATCATTTGATTCACCCAAAGTACATGAAGGAATGAGAAAATTAAATTTAGCCACAGGTGAGCTGGAGAAATATCTGGTTAGATTAAATATTTTCCTTCCAGCATCGTGATGCTTGAATTAGTGACCAAACTGACCAACTCCTTTCAACTTGAATTAATTAGTTTCTTTGTTATTTTGCTCCAGTGGATCCTGCAGCTCCGTCCTGCACAGCAGGTGAATATCTGCCCAGGTTTCTGCCTCCAACTCCTGAGAACGGAGCTCAGATCCACACCAACGTCAACCAGGCTGTGGAAATCAGCGTCAGAGCAGAAGCTACCCAGGCTGAGTGAGTGATCAAAACAGGAACTTCATAAAGTTCACTTTTCAGACAGAGTTTAAGCTAATCTGGTGTTTTAAGTAAACCCAATTCATTTAAGTAACATTGATGCTTCAAAAACAAATGAAACTAACAAAATATTTTTGGGTAAATTTTCTCTAAGCCTAAAAATATAATTAAAAAAACTATAAAACTACAGGAATTGTCCAAACATTACTGATGTTATTGAAAACATGCTGCCAATGGCAACAAAAACTTTGGTTATGCATGTAGAGATGCTTTGGAAATGTTAATGTAACAAACTGTTTATGTCCTGTTCATTAAAGGACCTTTGCGCTCCTGTTCAGCGGACCGCGCAGATTAACCAAGAGGTCATCAGGATCAGGAAACTTCAGCCTGACATGGACGCCATCGGCCAGTGACGGAGGACTGAACCACACTACCTGCTTTGTTATCCAGGCAAAGTTAGTGTTTTATCTTATTAATGCAAGGAAAACAGCTTAAGTTATAAATCCACCTCTGTGCAGCTTATTGAAATAAGGCTGGTTCACAGCAGAGGGTTTACAGAACATGAGCCCTGTTAGGTCTAGCTGAGGGTTTGCATGTTTGGTACCAATGATAATCTCTATGGTTTGCATGAAAATGAGGGATATTCTGACCCATCTGCTCATTTAAATTTCAGAAATACTCACTGAGTGTAGAGACACCAAGACATAAAGTTATGAGTTGGCTGGAAATGTGGTTCTCTATTAAAGTGGTCCAAGACTGGAACCTTGAGGAACCCCAGAAATAATTTTAATTCACCCAGATTTATTCTTACTTAATGAGAAATAAATAATTTTAACACAGAAAAAACCTCCCATTTTAATTAAAAATGCTGTGACCAGCTGTGGAAAATCAGCCCTGGGATTATCACCGGGATAAACATTCATGCATGCAAATGAACTGGGAACACTGCTTATTATGCTCCGGATCAAAACATAAGGAAAGAAAACTCACCTAACTTGTTTTTGCTCCACAGAAGGGGAGAACAAATTCTAATGAGTAAACAAATTACTACCTGTTTTATTACGTTGCATTTACTGTATAAAATAATAAATGTTAAAACAATTTTAATTAAAACATGAAGTCTCATGTGCGAAGCTGTTTATCAGCAGTTAAAGTAAAACTTATGTTTCATGGATGTACAGTCTCATATTTCGACTCGTAAAGATTCAAACTTAGACCCAACAGCAGTTTAACATGTTAACTTGATTCCAGCCAGAGATGACTTTGCACAAATTTAGATGCTGAAGCCAAGATTTTACATTTTTACATCACAACAGAATCATAACTGTGTTTAGCTAAAATCTTGTATCTCTAGCAGAGATTTTTTGCAGTGTATTGGTTTTGTTGAAGTTGCTGTTTTAAGACTTAAACTGAATTGATTAGTTGCTTTAATAGTTTTCCATCTAAGCTGTTGCTCTGATTACCTCCCAGCTCCTCTGGCTCTCTGTACCAGTCTGACCTTCGATGCGTCTTTGTGAAAACTGAGAACAGTGAGTGGAAATCTCTGATTGGTCTTTAGTTTGAATTCAATTGGATATTTCCTGAAATGATAAGATTAATCTGCTGCTCTGTTACAGCGCCTGTTCCCCCTCCAACTGGAGCTACACCCACACCACCACCCAGTTACACAGACCGCCCAGTTATAGATCCTAGTCCAATAACCCAACCTTCAGTTACCTCTCCACCACCAACTACACTCCCAACAACAACTACACCTACAACTACACCTCCACCAACTACAACCAGCCAACCAACAACTACACCTCCACCAATTGCAACTACAACCGGCCAACCCACAACAACTCCACCTCTACCAACTACAACCAGCCAACCCACAACAACTACACCTCCACCAACTACAACTACAACTAGCCAACCTACAACAACTACAACTCCACCAACTACAACTACAACTACACCTACAACTACACCTCCACCAACTACAACCAGCCAACCCACCACAACAATTACAACTACACCTCCACCTACTACAACTACAACTAGCCAACCTACAACAACTACACCTCCACCTACTACAACTACAATTAGCCAACCCACTACAACTACACCTCCACCTACTACAACTACAATCAGCCAACCCAC